TTCCAATGTGAAAAAAGGTTAATAGTGGTACCTATATACAGAGTTGTGAGAATTAAATGAGGAATATATCCAAGACACTTAGAACAGTGTCTAGTACTTAGCAATCATTAAGTAGATATTAGTTTTTATTTCCTTTTAATTTGTATTATTCTAAGTCTATTTCTACATAGTGTTGGATATAGGCATGCAGTATTAAATCCTAAGTTGAAAAAGAAGAGCTCAAGTTTTTGTTTTGTTTTATTTCTCTTTTTCCTGGACTTTTTCTCTGGCTAGGCCATGGGGTGTTTATAATTGATGCTACAGCTCCTACTCTCCTCATCAGAGTTTCAGCAGAGTCCTGTATTTGACTCTCTATCCTTTAATTCACTTAGTTACATAGGTACTTTAGAAGAATCTGGCATCATCTTTGCTAAACCTTATTCTTCAGTTCATCATATTCTTTGTCCTTTATGAAAGTAATTTAATTTTTAAAACAATTTGACAGGGCCAATACTTATTCTTTAATCACATCCAACAAATTCAGATAATTGAATGTGTTAAGTCAAGCTTTATCCTTCAGGCAACTTTAATTCAATCTCCACAGCAGAAACTTTGTGACAGCAAAAACTTGCAAGTTTGGTTAATTAATAAATAGTAAGCTTACCAGAAACATGACACTTTTTGACCATATCAATCTATTTTAAAATCTTTAAAAATTACTAGTTAGCCTACAGAACAACTTGAATAATGCATTAAGTTTAGTGAAGTAAACAAAGATAAATAAGTTTTATGAAATCTTTCTTCAAATAACATAACCTCTAGAAGGGAAAATATACAACCACACTTATAATAATGATAAAAGGTAGGAGAAATAGATACCTAAAGGGAAGTTTCCATAAAATACTATGTGAGGTGAATTGAAGCAAAAGGTTTTTTTTCTGAATAGTTGCCCTATGAAAAGCTTCACTGAAGGGTAGTGTTTGAGGAGAAAAACATAAGGAAATATTATAGTAAAGAATATGGTAATATAAATAATAAGTATAATAGGGAAAATTATGTTGGACATGATAACATGATCTGGAAGGAAAAGGGACATTCCCATACAGGGAAGCATCATACGTAAAGCCATCAAGGCTGAAAACTTGGTACATATGGGGAGCACAGCAAGAAGTCATTTGGATTGTAGCCTTTAAATACAAAGATTTCTAAACACGTTTGGAAAATTATGTTGGTATATAGTATAGATTATTAGGAGCCAGGTTTGGACTTTATAGTCAAAGAAGAAGTACTGCAGTTGAGGAAAATTGTTCAACAGTAGTATGTAAAGTGGCTTGCGTATAGAAAAGACTGTTGGTAGGGTGACCAAATAGGGGCGAATCTTAATCTGAGATCCAAGAGAGTGTAAACTATGGCTTTAGCAGGAAGAAAAATGGGGGAAAAGGAAATAGAGGTAAACTCAATGACAGCATGTGTAGGATTAGTCAAAGGGGAAGATTCAAAAATGTCTGAGAGTTTAAGACTTGGAAATGGATGATTAGCAAGAGCACTTAAGGAGAGCTATGTGGAAGGGAGCATGAAGTGTTGATTTTAGACATGCTGGGTTTTGGGCACCAGGCATCCATGTAGAGATACTCAAAGGGGATAAGTTTTCAAGTCCTGGAACAAAGGACAAAGGTTAAAAATGAAGACGTGAATCTTATAGCCTTCTGTACACAACAAGAGTTGAACTATTAAGGATGAAAATGATTTTCACTGGAGAACTGTGGAGAAAAGAAGACTGGAGACACTCCATAAGAGGCAACCACAGGTGGGAAACATAGAGGAAGAGACGCTAAGAGACACAGAAAGTAGAATAAGACAAATAGAGAGTCACTATTGCCAGAGAGTTTCAGGACTAATACCTGATCAGCAATATAAAACTAGCAGACAGTTGTTGAGGAAGAGGGAAATTGAAAATATAGCCAATGACTTTGTAAGTAACAATCACCTGATTTCCTTCCATGTGGTAAGCAGGAAGCCTAGACCACTGGGCAGTGTGTGAACCAGAATGGGCAATTCAAAACCAAATTCGGCAGATCAATGTATTGAGTTTTCCAGACTGGGTTTGCAATCTGATGGAGGGAAAGACAGAATTCAGATACAAAGTGAAAGAGAACTGAAACCAGGGACGTCAGATGAATACAAGAGTGTTCAACCAGAATCAGATTAGCTTAGAATCAAAGGTCAGTTTTAAAGGGAGTTTGTAATCATGAGCTTGGGAGTCCTTAAAGGACAAAGTCCTGATCTGGATGGAGGTGAATCATCCTATTATGGACAGGGGGTACCACCATTTTTATCACATATTTTTGGACTTGTGATCTCAGCTTCAGCCAAAAATTTGTGCACAGCTAGGTTCATGGCCTGAAAACTGCGAGAAGCAGCAGAGTGGTCCAACAGAAGGTTATATGAATGAAAATTTCAACACCTGAAAAACATCATAAAATGTGTCCACTTTAGACATCATCAAGAGCGTTGGGAGAACCATTGGTCAGACAGAAGACCATTTGCAAGACTGAGGAGGCTTCTGGGAGAGAACTCATCCCAGGTAAAGAAGCAGTTTATTACAAGCAGACCCTGAAGAATTTTAGTGGCCAGAGGAAATAGTTATTCAAGGCACAGAATTATAACTGTAAGAGCTAGTTCACTAAAACCTCTTAAAATAGTTAAGCTCAGTAAGTACTTTAACAGAGAATCCCCAAAGTCAAGGTAGGCATTTCTTCCCAGCTCCTAGATATATAACAAGGGAGTTGGTGCCCTGTGAAGGTGACAGTGGGCAGGAGAGACTTTGGATCCCTGTGGGCCAGTGTCAGTAACCACAGGTACTCTATTAGCAGCAGGACCTCAGTGGAAGTGGGCTTATTTGTGAATACATGTGAAATACCTCCTAAAAACTGCCCTTCTGTCTCCCTCAAAATTAAATTCATGTGTGCACATACACACACATACACACAGGTGAACTCACATGTGTTTATATGGACACTTCCCAAACAGGTCCTGCTTCATGTAGTAGAATCAATGCATGAGTGAAATTTGAGTTATTTCCATTAATGTGCTCTGTTTTGCCCTATAGGTTAGTAAGGCCCAAAGAAATTAGGATAATTGAATCAATGTTCCCAGATTTCTCAGCAATTCCTGCTATACAGTGGAATAGAATTGGCTTTTTTTTTTTAAACATCTTTATTAGAGTATAATTGCTTTACAGTGGTGTGTCAGTTTCTACTTTATAACAGTGAATCAGTTATACATATACATATGTCCCCATATCTCTTCCCTCTTGCAGCTCAGTGCTTCGTGACCACCTAGAGGGGTGGGATAGGGAGGGTGGGAGGGAGGGAGATGCTAGAATTGGCTTTTAAAGTCAATGGGCTGTAGCTGCAGCTGCTGTTAAGTGTTCGCTGGTAGCACTAGTGTCAGATGACGCTCTTGAAAATGAGTTTTATGGTCAAATATGTTTGAGAAACTCTGAATTAAAGAAACTGAACTATATCTATTTTTTAAAGGCTTTCTTTGGGCTTTCAGATGCTAATTGTCAATTGACTCTAAAAGAGGGTACATTTTGCAGAGTCCCCAAACTTTGACAATGAATCCTTTCTTCACATAACTTTCCATGGAACGAGTTTTCCATAGAATAGATTGAGAAATATTCCTCTAATTAGATGGGAATTACTTTTAGAAAATACTATCTGCTGTTCTCTAACTCCACCTCCCACCTGGAAAAAATTTTAATCAGAGTGAAAGAAATAGAAAAGGGTAGAAAGATAGAAAATTTCACAAAACAGGATGGTTAAACACTGGAATCTACAAAGGAATATTACAATTTCAGAATGCCCATGGATAAATACATTTGCTATAAATTGATGCCATGCACTCAGTATGTTTGCAAAATATTTGTTGATTGAATGTATGAATGAAATTTGTATAGTAATGTTTAAATACTGTATATAGTGTTCTTATTAGTTAAAACATATCAGTATTCCTTCTGTTGTTTCCTCTTAGAAAAAAATTAAACACTTGACTTACAGATTATAAAATCAAGACTAATAAAAGTTCAGTGGATCTTGAATTAAAATAAATTGTAATTTGAGTACAGTAATATGCATCAAGAGATACAAAGTAATGTACTTTTTTTGAGCCAGTAAAACCATCTCCAGGAATTTATACTAGAAAGAAATTTATTACAAGGAAAAATAATAAAGAACTACATGAAAAGGCATTTATTAAAGAAATATTTAAAATAAAATTAGGAACAATTTGAATCCAAACTGACATTAATTTGGAGTCTAGCTCTGTCACTTTCTACCTGTGTGATCTTAGGAAACCTTATATAACTTATAAGATCTTATATAACTTTTCAGAGCCTCAATTTTGCAATCCATAAAATGGAAATAATAATAATATTAAACTCATAAGGCTTTAGTGAGGATTAAAGATAATATAAATAAAGCATTTATCTTGGGGTTTCACACATAATAATCAATCAATAAAAGTTATTTTAACAGTGAAATGGCTAATCATATGGCATAAGACATTAGAATATTTTCTAGTTACTATGAGGGTTATATAGAAACATGGGAAAATGCAGAGTTTAGTGCTAGGTGAAACCTATGAACTCTTTTTTAACAATTCCAGGATAAATCATATGTAAAATGATTGGATTGGTATAATTACATGTAATTAGTACTATGTTTTTATCTGTTCTTTAGTATTCTATATTGAGCTTATACAAATTTTCTTTTAAAAGCTATGTAGAGTTATGATGATCTCACATAAGGATAACTTGTGCCAACATCATGACAATTTAAGATATCAGTGATTGGTGAAGCAGCAACATTTATTAAGTACTGAGCCTGTTTGACACTTGCACTGGCTAGACTTGGAGAAAACATTTAGCACAGTAGTTTCTGATTTACAAGATATTTTCACATACACTTTGTCTTTTGTTTGTTTGTTTTGACTGTGCCATGCGGTTTGTGGGATCTTAGTTCCCAGACCAGGGTTTGAACCTGGGGCACAGCAGTGAAAGCACTGAGTCCTAACCACTGGACCACCAGGGAATTCCCTGCACTATGTTTTTAATTCCTGTGCCAGCACTGTGATTACAGCAAGACAGACATTTTACGAGTGACCCATGACCCCAGGCTCACAACAGAAGTGATTTTGTTGAATATCCTGTAAACTATAAGATGGAAACAGGACCACAAATCACCTCCAGGTTTTCTGTCCAGTCCTCTTATGAGCTGCCTCTCCTACAAGAGCTTGAGAATGTTTCTGAACTTGTTCATAAAACCATTCTCCTTATCTGGGATCATGGTACTTTCCATGTAACATATATCTGCATCCAAGTTGGCTTTTGCTTTTATTATACGTAGAAGATCCATTACCATTTCTGGTTAGCCTCTCAAAATATGATCTGTAGAAAAGCAGCCCCTAAAAATGCTGTGAGAACATAGGGACCTGGTCAAAGAAGGCTGTGCATTGTTAAAACGTGAGCAAAAGCATCTTAAAAGCTCTGAGAAGCTTTACTACAACCATACTTCCTGTTAAGTTTTGCCTTGCCTTGTGATTCTCAAAAATACTTGGCCACTGAAATTTTTTTCCAGAAAACTATTAATTCATGGAATGATGATTATTCACATCTTACTTGCAAAATTACTAGAAGAGTCAAGCCTTTTCAAATGTTCCCTAGAAGTTACCCAGTAACCTGAGCAAGAAAGTCATTTAGCTGCTGATTTTTCCCAATGAGTAAGAATAGTACAGGGAGGAAATTTACCCAATGTGGTTGGAGAGTGTGTCATTTGAGGCCACAAGGCCTCCTCCATGCGGTATTAGTCTTCAGGGTTTTCCGTCCCCTTGGTGGATCTCACCCTCACTTGCTGAAGTTACCCTGCCACTGGACACCTCTTTCCAAGCCAAGCCAACCCTGAGGTCCCCAATACTGTCATACTTTCCTACCCCTTCAAAAAGTGCAATCTTTCCTCCTTTATGCCAGACCATGTTCTGCTAATCTAAGACCCTCACCCTGCATAGTGGGTTTTAGTGATAACTTTGGAAGAATTTATTCAATTCACAAAGGTCCTACTTCTGTGGAAACTGCTTTATGTTGCGCATATATATATATATATATAATGGAATATTACTCAGACATCAAAAAGAATGAAATAATGCCATTTGCAGCAGCATGGATGGACCTAGAGATTATAATACTAAGTGAAGTAAGTCAGACAAAGACAAATACCTTATGATATATGTAGATTCTAAAAGAAAAAAAAGAAGACACAAGTGAACTTATTTCTCAAACAGAGACTTACAGGCACAGAAAATAAATTTATGGTTACCAAAAGGAGAAGGGAGGTGGGAGATAAATAAATTAGGAGGTTGGAATTAACATATACACACTACTATATATAAAATAACCAACAAGGAACTACTATATAGCACAGGGAACTCTACTCAATATTCTGTAATAACATATATGGGAGAAGAGTCTGAAAAACAGTACACACATGTATATATAACTGAATCTCTGTGCCATACAGCTAACATTACACAATATTGTAAATCAACTATACCTCAGTAAAGAATTTTAAGAAACAAACAGAAACCTACCAATCTGGGCTGCTGCACACATATGGGGAATGTTCTTAGACTCTTGCTCATTATTAGTCAAGCCAAGGGTAGACACAGGACTAATGTTGAGCCAACAAGATTCAGTCTTTCCAAAATTCAGTTAAGACAAAGCTGGTCTAATTCCTTCTGGACTATTCGCCTGGAGTGAGGGGATTTAAACTCAGGAGCTGAGGCTGACATTGTGTGGCTGCCATATTCTCAAAGAAACATGGACAGAGAGAAATGGCAGAATTTCAAAAAAGAGCAGCAGAGACTGTGCAGCCCCAGTGGCGGTGGGGGGGAATTGAGAGAGAGAAGGAGAGAGAATTTTTTAAAAAGAGTTTTCTGTTTCTGATAGCTTTCCTCTGTAGTGCCCCCACCTCTGATCCTGGCTGTTCCTATTCTTGTATTGAGAGACGTCTCAATTACTTTACAATAAACTAGTCTATGCATATTTGAAAGATGCTTTTGTTACTTGCAACCAGAATATCCCTAATTAAGATAGAGCTGTAATGAATAAACAAGTCACTCCCTTTTCTTATCAGCAAAGTTTTCTTGAGGACACAGTGCCTCATCTCAGATGAGGGATTACAGTAGTTGTTGCTCCGGGCATAGTGACAGACTGGCAGGAGGACTTTTCAAATTTCAATGTGTAGACAGCTGCCTTTTCCATCTCCACATGGACCTGGCTCAGGATCATATATAATTAGAAGTAGGCATCCCCGAGCTGCAGAGGGTATGTAGGGTGAACATTCCCAAGTATGCACTCCCTGAATTCAGAGTACATATGTGAGCTGACGTGACTTCTAAATTTTTTCCAACTTTTCTCATCCTCCCCTGCACAGCTTGGTGAGCCCCTGAAATTATGACCTCATTCCAAAAAGCTGGAAGAGCCTCCTTTACAGTTTCTGTGCTGAAGTGTAGTTTGAAATCTTTTGAACATTACAACTAACTTTTTTTCACATTTAAAAAAAAAATTATTGAAGTATAGTTGATTTACAATGTTTGTTAATTTCTTCTGTACAGCAAAGTGACTCAGATATACATATATAACTGATATATATTATATCCATATAATATATATATTCTTTCTCATATTCTTTTCCATTATGGTTTATCATAGAATATTGAATATATTTCCCTGTTCTATACAGTAGGACCTTGTTGTTTATCCATTTCATATGTGATGGTTTGTATCTGCTAATCCCAAACTCCCATTCCTTCCTTCACCTTCTCCTCCTACCCCTTGGCAACTGTAAGTCTGTTCTCTATGTCCGTGAGTCCATGTCTGTTTCATAGATAGGTTCGTTTGTGTCATATTTTAGATTCCACATACAAGTGATATCATATGGTATTTGTCTTTCTCTTTCTGACTTACTTCACTTAGTATGATAATCTCAAGGTCCATCCATGTTGCTGCAAATGGCATTATTTCATTCTTTTTGATTGCTAATATTCCATAGTATATATGTACCACACCTTCTTTATCCATTCATCTGTCGAAACAGTGTTTAGGCAAGAGATACCACAGGTACCACAGCAGACTCAGGACTCCAGGGAACGATGGGTCAAAGGAAACCCCAGGCTTCGGCAGGAGGAAGAGAGTAATCCAAAGGCATAAATAAAACACATACACCTAAGGACCTACAGTTATTTTCTTTTACTGTGTCTTTACAGAAGGATGGGAGTCACTAGCTGGTACCAATTGATGCCAAAGTCCTAGGTATGCAGGACCCCTCACGGTCTCTACTTCTTTTCTGAATCCCCCAATTTAAGGCCCCCATCACATATGTGTTTTGCCTCTTGAAATATCTGTATTATACTATGCATTGATATTTAGCTTTCTGTGTATAGATTCATCCTCCCAGAATCAAATTATGAAGTGTGAAGAAGAAAATATGTATCCTGTCTCTACTTAGAGACATAATAAGATCAGGGTTTTACCCAGTCACTGATCACAGCATTATCAAAATAATATAATACAGATGTAATTTGATTCATGCAAATTTTAAGAATCCTTGTCTTTCAGAAATCATTGCTCTTTCTTTCCTTACTACACACACACACACACACACACACACACACACACACACACACACAGAGTTTCCCCCTGCTCTGCAGCCCCAGCCAGTATGGAAAGCTCACCTCTTGTCAAAGCCCATTTGGTAAAGGTAGATTAAGGGAGAAGTGAGAACACAGGACTGTCTGTACCTCCTCTATTCCTCGCCCCTTATTTATGGATGTGAGAATCATTTTAAGGATCCTTAGTTTTATCGTTGTTTCTGTTTGGTGTTAGATACTGTGGTAGGTGCCTTACTGAAGCTAATCAGGGATGGCCTTAGATTTCTTATTGGATCCTTCTTAATACCAAGCACTAAGTTAGCTCATGAATCCATGTGTGAATAACTAAATCCACAAGTATTAAGTACGAACTTTTATTTTTGTTGACTGGCAAACACAAGGGATTGTGAAATGTGGAGTGTCAGAATTTTATATCATTAGCCAAATGATATATTTTCATTCAGAATCATCAGACCTCTGCCCTGATCTTTCCCTCAACCATGGAATTGCTCTGTCCTTCTCCTTAGCCAAATGTCATAGAGAGAAGCAAATTCAGTATTCAATGCAAAGGGAAAGGATTTGCACTACTTAGCTTCATCGCCAGTTGCATGTAAACAGGTCCAAAAGTTTGACCACGACCCAGACATAAACACCCACAGCATAGGAAGAAATGTACACTGTAGGGA